CCATTGCAGACACTGCAAGGCTCCAGGCGGACATCAACCAAATCTTTCAGTGGGCTGCAGAAAACAATATGAAGTTCAATGATGAGAAATTTCAATTACTCAGATATGGTAAACACGAGGAAATTAAATCTTCATCAGAGTACAAAACAAATTCTGGCCACAAAATAGAGCGAAACACCAACGTCAAAGACCTGGGAGTGATCATGTCGGAGGATCTCACCTGTATCAATCGCATCTGCTAGAAAAATGACAGGATGGATAATGAGAACCTTCAAAACTAGGGAGGCCAAGCCCATGATGACACTCTTCAGGTCACTTGTTCTATCTAGGCTGGAATATTGCTGCACACTAACAGCACCTTTCAAGGCAGGTGAAATTGCTGACCTAGAAAATGTACAGAGAACCTTCACGGCGCGCATAACGGAGATAAAACACCTCAATTACTGGAAGCGCTTGAGGTTCCTAAACCTGTATTCCCTGGAATGCAGGCGGGAGAGATACATGATTATATACACCTGGAAAATCCTAGAGGGACTAGTACCGAACTTGCACACGAAAATCACTCACTACGAAAGAAAAAGACTTGGCAGACGATGCATCATCCCCCAAACCATACCCCCGGCCGGGATTGAACCCGCGGTCATAGAGTCTCAAAACTCCAGCCCGTCGCGTTAGCCACTAGACCAGCTAGCCACAATAAGATTCATCCAACTAGGTATATTTCTACACCATAGGAAAGTTAGCACAGGCACCTCTGTGACCACAAATGCAAGTTTTTACAGACGAATCTCCAGCTAGCGTGGCCGTGACGAACTCTAGCTCAAGTCCCTTCACTGCCGTCAACATGACTCAAGAAATCGTAATGACACGATTGCAAATAAACCATACCCCCGGCCGGGATTGAACCCGCGGTCATAGAGTCTCAAAACTCCAGCCCGTCGTGTTAGCCACTAGACCAGCTAGCCACAATAAGATTCATCCATTTCTTGAGTCATGTTGACGGCAGTGAAGGGACTTGAGCTAGAGTTCGTCACGGCCACGCTAGCTGGAGATTCGTCTGTAAAAACTTGCATTTGTGGTCACAGAGGTGCCTGTGCTAACTTTCCTATGGTGTAGAAATATACCTAGTTGGATGAATCTTATTGTGGCTAGCTGGTCTAGTGGCTAACGCGACGGGCTGGAGTTTTGAGACTCTATGACCGCGGGTTCAATCCCGGCCGGGGGTATGGTTTATTTGCAATCGTGTCATTACGATTTCTTGAGTCATCATCCCCCCAATGAAAAGCAGGGGTGTCACTAGCACGTTAAGAGACCATACAATAAGTGTCAGGGGCCCGAGACTGTTCAACTGCCTCCCAGCATACATAAGGGGGATTACCAACAGACCCCTGGCAGTCTTCAAGCTGGCACTGGACAAGCGCCTAAAGTCGGTTCCTGACCAGCCGGGCTGTGGCTCGTACGTTGGTTTGCGTGCAGCCAGCAGTAACAGCCTGGTTGATCAGGCTCTGATCCACCAGGAGGCCTGGTCACAGACCGGGCCGCGGGGGCGTTGACCCCCGGAACTCTCTCCAGGTAAACTCCAGGTCAGATTACCAAAAGCTCCAGCGGCGGGTCATCATGTGATTAAGACCCGCGACAGGAAACACTTATCCTGTTTCCTGACAAATCTTACCTAACCTGATAGGGATGTTAGAAAGTACTTCTTCAGTCTTAGGGTGAATCGCAGGGATATCAAGTACTTTAGTTTGAGGATGTGTCAGGGGATGTCATGAAGTACTTCAGTCTGAGAATAGTCAAGGAATGTCAAGTACTTCAGTCTGAGGATGAGTCAGGGGATGTCAGGTGCCTAACGCGACGGTCTCGAGTTTTGAGACTGACCGCGGGTTCAAACTCCAACCGTGGTATGGGATGTCAAGTACTTCAGTCTGAGGATGAGTCACAGGGGATATCAAGAAGTACTTCAATCTGAGAACGAGTCAGGGGATGTCAAGTACCTCAGTCTGAGGATGAGTCAGGGGATGTCAAGTACTTCATTCTGAGGATGTGTCATGGGATATCAAGAAGTACTTCAATCTGAGAACGAGTCAGGGGATGTCAAGTACCTCAGTCTGAGGATGAGTCAGGGGATGTCAAGAAGTACTTCAGTCTGAGGATGAGTCTGGGGATGTCAAGTACTTCAGTCTGAGGATGAGCCAGGGGGGTGTCAAGAAGTACTTAGTCTGAAGATTGAGACATTTATGCAGCATATGGGAATCTTTATTCAGGAAACGTTTCGCCACACAGTGGCTTCTTCAGTCCAATACAAAGAGGAAGGCTTAAGGAGAGGAGGAGAATGAGGTAATCAGTCCCTCAACCTGGAGTCGATGTGTTCAGTCCATCAATCTTGTAGAATGTACAGCATAGGGCCATAGACGTGGCTTATATACTGTTGTGAGGTGAGGTGAAGCAGGCGGAGGCGGGGTCATAGTGGTACCATCCACTAGTCGAAGTAGGTCTTCGTCCAAAGGTTGAACAAGTGATGAAGAATTCTTTGTAACAAGATCCCATGATGCTGCAGTGTCTGACAGTTGTGATGAATGGTTTGAAAAACCGACAAGTTGAAGATTGAGACACTTATGCAGCATATGGGAATCTTTATTCAGGAAACGTTTCGCCACACAGTGGCTTCTTCAGTCCAATACAAAGAGGAAGGCTTAAGGAGAGGAGGAGAATGAGGTAATCAGTCCCTCAACCTGGAGTCGATGTGTTCAGTCCATCAATCTTGTAGAATGTACAGCATAGGGCCATAGACGTGGCTTATATATACTGTTGTGAGGTGAGGTGAAGCAGGCGGAGGCGGGGTCATAGTGGTACCATCCACTAGTCGAAGTAGGTCTTCGTCCAAAGGTTGAACAAGTGATGAAGAATTCTTTGTAACAAGATCCCATGATGCTGCAGTGTCTGACAGTTGTGATGAATGGTTTGAAAAACCGACAAGTTGAAGATTGAGACACTTATGCAGCATATGGGAATCTTTATTCAGGAAACGTTTCGCCACACAGTGGCTTCTTCAGTCCAATACAAAGAGGAAGGCTTAAGGAGAGGAGGAGAATGAGGTAATCAGTCCCTCAACCTGGAGTCGATGTGTTCAGTCCATCAATCTTGTAGAATGTACAGCATAGGGCCATAGACGTGGCTTATATACTGTTGTGAGGTGAGGTGAAGCAGGCGGAGGCGGGGTCATAGTGGTACCATCCACTAGTCGAAGTAGGTCTTCGTCCAAAGGTTGAACAAGTGATGAAGAATTCTTTGTAACAACCTTGTTCAACCTTTGGACGAAGACCTACTTCGACTAGTGGATGGTACCACTATGACCCCGCCTCCGCCTGCTTCACCTCACCTCACAACAGTATATAAGCCACGTCTATGGCCCTATGCTGTACATTCTACAAGATTGATGGACTGAACACATCGACTCCAGGTTGAGGGACTGATTACCTCATTCTCCTCCTCTCCTTAAGCCTTCCTCTTTGTATTGGACTGAAGAAGCCACTGTGTGGCGAAACGTTTCCTGAATAAAGATTCCCATATGCTGCATAAGTGTCTCAATCTTCAACTTGTCGGTTTTTCAAACCATTCATCACAACTGTCAGACACTGTGTGGCGAAACGTTTCCTGAATAAAGATTCCCATATGCTGCATAAGTGTCTCAATCTTCAACTTGTCGGTTTTTCAAACCATTCATCACAAGTACTTAGTCTGAGGATGAGTCAGGGTATGTCAAGAAGTACTTCAGTCTGAGGATGAGTCAGGGGATGTCAAGAATTACTTCAGTCTCAAGATGAGTCAGGGGATGTCAAGAAGTACTTCAGTCTAAGGCTGGGTCAGGGGATGTCAAGTACTTCAGTCTGAGGATGAGTCAGGGGGTGTCAAGAAGTACTTCAGTCTGAGGATGAGTCAGGGTATGTCAAGAAGTACTTCAGTCTGAGGATGAGTCAGGGGATGTCAAGAAGTACTTCAGTCTGAGGATGAGTCAGGGGATGTCAAGAAGTACTTCAGTCTGAGGATGAGTCAGGGGATGTCAAGAAGTACTTCAGTCTAAGGCTGGGTCAGGGGATGTCAAGTCAGGGGATGTTAGGTACTTCAGTCTGAGGATGTGTCTTAGGATGTCAAGAAGTACTTCAGCCTCAAGATGAGTCAGGGGATGTCAAGAAGTACTTCAGTCTAAGGCTGGGTCAGGGGATGTCAAGTCAGGGGATGTTAGGTACTTCAGTCTGAGGATGTGTCTTAGGATGTCAAGAAGTACTTCAGTCTAAGGCTGGGTCAGGGGATGTCAAGTACTTCAGTCTGAGGATGAGTCAGGGGGTGTCAAGAAGTACTTCAGTCTGAGGATGAGTCAGGGGATGTTAGGTACTTCAGTCTGAGGATGTGTCTTAGGATGTCAAGAAGTACTTCAGTCTAAGGCTGGGTCAGGGGATGTCAAGTGCTTCAGTCTGAGGATGAGTCGGGGGATGTCAAGAAGTACTTAGTTTGAGAATGAGTCAGGGATGTCAAGAAGTACTTCAGTCTGAGGATGAGTCACAGGGGATGTCAAGAAGTACTTCAGTCTGAGGATGAGTCACAGGGGATGTCAAGTATTTGAGTCTGAGAGTGAGTCACAGGGGATGTCAAGTACTTGAGTCTGAGTGAGTCACAGGGGATGTCAAGTACTTAAGTCTGAAAATGAATCACAGGGGATGTCAAGAAACACTTCAGTCTTACAGTTTAGTTATAGGGACATCAGAAAGCACTTCTTGTTTGAAGTAGTCAGGAAGTGGAACAGTCTGGATAAGGAAATGGTGTGGCAACACTCCTGAGTAGGTATTATAGGGTCTGTAGGAACACCTATAATGTGACTATTCGTGAATAGCAGAGAGGCTGGACCAGGAGATAAAACAAGGCCCTCACAGCCATAAATAGGTGAGTAGAAATAGGTGAGTGCGTAAGGTGAGTGTGTGTTGTCAGTGTTGAGGGTCGCCGGGAGTGTTGCTGATGTTTCCCGCCAGTGAAGGTTGAGCATCCACGTGAGGTGGTACCACTAGTTATTTTTACCTCCAGCACTCAGAATGAGCGACCATGACGACGAGCACACCATCGCCGAGGACTTGGTGGTCACCAAGTACAAAATGGCCGGCGAGATCGTCAACCGTGAGTGTCAGGAGGAACTTGTAGTGGAGATAGAGAGTGATGAAGCTAGGTGTTATGGACTCCATGTTTGATGGTGACGCGTGGGAGGTTACCAATATTTAGGCTCTGTTCCTGGCTCCAGGTGACCTGAGGCCCTCCACCTAGCTAGGACCTGACCCTTACATAACCTACAGGTCACATATGATCTCGGAGACCTGGTCATAACCTGAGAAATGGGCTGTGGCACTTCGTCTGGTCCCTCTGTATGACTTAACGCCTTTGTTGACGCTTTCCTGCTTCCACTATCTGGGCTCCGTTTATTTATATTTATTACATTATCTCACACTAAGGATTCCAAGTATATGTTAAGAGAGAATTAAGGTTTATCCTCGACCTAGGTGTAGTAACACTTAGGTGTAGTAACACTTATGTTCCATCGCTTAAGTTTTAATTCTATTTAAGTTGTAAGTGAATAGATACAAAATTCCTAACAATTTCCGTAGACTGTCTATCCTCAAATTTTGGAAGTGCAGAGGAAAGGAACAAAGTGCTAAAATTTGCCTTTGAAGCAAATACTTAGTGGCATTAAAGATTAGGCAAATACGTAAGTTGAAATTGATCAAGACTGTATCATAATATAAATGGTATATAATTATTAAGTTGAAAAACAAGACAAGTGTGCAACACTTTGGTAGCTTTATTGACGATATGGTTTGGTGTCCCCCTCACCCCCATGGATGTTAATAACTTGCATGGCAGGCTGTGTGCTGAGTACAGAGGTGAGTACAGTACTGCAGGCAGTAAAAGTCTGGAGGGGTACTTTGAGGGTATCAGTCCCTTGGCCTTTATAGGCTGATTGTGGCAAGTTATTATGTAGGGATGGGTTTCTTTTATTTTTTTCATAGGCCCAAATATACAAAAACATCTCCATTGCAAAACCCACCTAATAATGTTGGGGTATTTGTATATGTAGTAACTTAAGCTGCAACGAGAAGTTAAAATAAATTTTGACTGAAGATAGCCCGTTCTTCAGCTTTCTATCTAGGCTGAGGGACTGATGATCTCTAATTACCTCCAGTTCTGTCTCCATTTTCGTGGTTACCTCTGTATTCGAATGATGAAGCATGTGAAACGTTTTATCAGTGAAGATTGCTGAGTATTGCACACATCTTAGCCCTTCTAGATTGTCTAGCAGCATGGACCAGTAGATCTACTGCAATGCACCTTTTATTATCTTAGGGTTGATAAATACAAAAAAAAAAAAAAGTGAAGACTCTGGATAAAATAGGATAACTCATGAAAGTTGGTTTATTCATGTTAATCTCTACCCTTCGAGCTAGGTGTCTTGATTCTGGCCTCAGGATCCAACAAATTGGAATCCACATCCCATTCCTTGGATCGAATATGATTGCCTCCCATGTGGTTTAGTGCTACTGCAGGATGTGACCAGCAGTTTAAGAACAAAAACATTAGAGCACTGCAGCAGGCTTAGTAAGTTTATCCAGGTACAGGTACACATAAATATAGTTAGGGGGCTCTGGTGGCCTGGTGGTTAACGCTCTTGCTTCACACGGCGAGGGCCTGGGTTCGATTCCCAGCCAGAGTAGAAACATTGGGCGTGTTTCTTTCTACCTGTTGTCTATGTTCCCCATCAGTAAAATGGGTACCTGGGTGTTAGTCGACTGGTGTGGGTTGCATCCTGGGACACTGACCTAATTTGCCTGAGATGCTCAGCATAACAAGTGGCTTTCTATGTAGTAGTATGTCATTGTTGTCAGCTAGGACTGTATACCATGTACATGTACTTGTAGTAAATAAAGATTATTATTATTATTACATAAATTATCATACATAGAAGCATATGTATAGATTACATAGGATAACCCAAAAAGAGTCAGTGACTTGTTTCCATTGGGGTCCCTTATATTAACTTATATTTAAACCTTAAAAGTTAAAACCGGTAAGAAACTTAATCATGTATCTTTCTTGCCTGTGTTCCAGGGAATACAAATCAAGGGACTTCAACCATTCTAAGCACTTAAATTACTGGGAATAGATGAAGTCCCCTGACTTGTATTCCCTGGAATGCAGGTGAAAAAGATACATGATAAAGTACACTTTGAAAATCCTAGAGGGATTAGTACCAAACTTGCACACAAAAATCACTCCCTATGAAAGCAAAAGACTTGGCAGGAGATGCAGCATTCCCTCAGTGAGAAGCAGGACCACCACGAGTACACTAAGAGACAATACAATAAGTGTCAGGGGCCCAAGACTGCTCAACTGCCTCCCGGCATACATAAGGGGGATTACAAATAGTCCTGTCTGTCTTCAAAAAGGAGCTGAACAGGCTCTTAAAGTCAGTAACTGATCAGCCAGGCTGTGGTTCGTACGTCAGTTTATGTGCGGCCAGCAGTAACAGCCTAGTTGATCAGACCCTGATCCACCACAAGGCCTGGTCTCAGACTAGGCCGTGGGGGCGTTTACCCTTGAAACCCTTTCCAGGTAACTGAAGTGCAGTACAGTAAAAGGAGATAAGGTAGGAATGAGGTAAATGAGTTATTTACATTAACATTAAAGAGAGGATCAGATCACAGTAATAGGTACACATATGTTAGCTATACGAGAAATCTCTCTCCTTTTTCCATATACTTGGAGTGGGTTTCGGGGGTCAACGCTCCCGCAGCCCGCATGAACTGGTTCGTGCTATTACAGGCTTTGACATATGCAGGCAGTCTGTTCTGCACCTTTATTGCTATACAGTAAAATGTGTTGGAAGCCTGACCACCGACTGTGGGTATACCTGGAGAGAGTTCCGGGGGTCTGTCATTAGTGTTACTGAATTCCTATGTAATGTACTTGTGTAGTATATGTAGCGAGTACTAGCTATATTATATATAAGATCCCTGTTGAGTTAGGCTGTCTGGCTAGCTTGTGACATCACCAAGTCATGCCTTTGTGAGCGCCATACCAGAGGCACCCGCCCTCACTATCACCACAGGCTTAGACTCGACAGGTAGGCTGGGCTATCTCCCCTCACAACTCTGCCAATATGTTACCAACCAATCAAGTGTGTATTACTTCAACCATCATATCTCCAAGGTACCCATGCAATAAATGGTGGCAAATAGTGAGGGCAGGTGCCTCTAGTATGGTGCTCGCATAGGCATGGCTTAGTGATGTCACAAGCTAGCCAGAGAGCCTAACTCAACAGGGATCTTATATATAATATAGCTAGTACTCAATACATATACTACACAAGTACATTGTATAGGAGTTCAATAACACTACTGACAGGTCAATGCCCCCGTGGCCCGGTCTGTGACAAGGCCTCATGGTGGATCAGGGTCTGATCAACCAGACTGCTACTATTGGCTGCAGCAAAGTTGTGTTCCCTCCCCCTAGTAATATACTTGCTTTGGATCCCAGTCTTGACAAACTTAGCAGCAAGGTATTCAAGACACTGAGCAATTTTATAAACATGATCTAACATTTGTTTTACTCTGTCTTCCACATTCAGCATATCCAGTTATAATTCATCCTGGTCTACATGCTGTCTTGGACCCATATCTAGGAATAATCTCAACATTTTGTTCTGGGTGATTTGTAGTCTTATTTTTGTTTTTTGTTAAGGCAGAGTACCATGAATAACAAGAGTAATCCATATGGCATTGTATAAGAGCTAGACGTAGGATCCTGAGAGCCTCAGTAGATACACTATACCTGTCTGTAGAGGAACTTTAGTCTATCATTTGCTTTCTTTACTACACAGTTCCCAATCAGTTCTCCTGACATACATGGGTCGAAGGGAATTCCCAGATATTTCACTGAGGAAATTGAAGTGATGGGTTCCCCCATTTCACTGGACATTAAAATTATTTACACTTTTAGTTTATTTTTTGTACCAGAGTATGGCCTCCGTTTTCCTGAGGTGTAATGTTAATTTGTTGTCTACCAACCATTTGCTGCAGGACTCTAGTTCTAGTGATAGTACATTAGCTATATCTTGTGGGTCTTTACCTGACACTAGCAAAGCACTGTCTGCATACAACAGAAGCCTACATTTGACCCTGATGGGCATGTCATTCACATAACATAGGAACAATAAGGGACCCAGAATACTACCTTGGGGAACCCCACGTGCTACCGGCAAGAGGTCTGATTCTGTGTTGTTGATCTTGACAATTAGGACTTAAACCAATCAGCAGAACTTATGCTGATAGCCTGTAGTTTCTTACATAATATATTGTGGTTGATCGTATCGAAGGCCTTTTGCAAGTCTGTTACCATACCTGTGAGATTCCCTAACGACATTTCAGTTCTCAAGTAGTCCATCAATTACGTGATTGGTAACTATGGAGAAAGTTTTTGTCATTAGGATACTTAACTACTTGACAGTACACCGCCTTCTCTAGAAATTTGGACATCACTCTGAGTATATTAACAGGCCTATAGTTGCTGACATCAGACCTACTATTTTTCTTGAAGATTAGAGTAATTCTGGCCTCTTTGAACCCCTCTGGAACGGTATTAGTGGTGATGGACAGATTTATGTGTGCAGTGGGGATTGACAGTTCAGATGCACCATCTTTTAAGAACTTGGCCAGGATGTTCTCTGGACCAGTGCTCTTGGTTGGGTTTAACTGATCCATGCTAGCCAGGTCCATTTCACACAGTCTTTCTTGTATGTTTGTGTCCTATTTTTTAGTGTTAACTTCAAGTGTCAGGTGAAGTCATTGATGAGTTATCCATCAGCAGATTTACGATGAGTTAACTAACAACCTGATTTAGCATTAATTTAAGCTAGGTTAGTGCTTATCAATAATTTTACAAAATACACTACTATTCACCTCGAGCATCTTTACTCACTCTTGACTTCTCATTTTACCCAATGGAAATAAGTCGATGGCTTTTTTTTTGGGGGGGGGGTATCCAAGGTAATTTATACTACTATATGATAATTGTACTTATGTGTACCTATGGCTAAATAAATAAAATAAATAAATAATAAATAAAACCTCACTAATGGGGTTTTACAATAGGAAATCACCTTAAACCCATTGTTACTCAACAAAAATGTTAGAATGATTACTCAATCAAATTCCAGACAACACTTTCCCTTATTGTCCCTATTTTACAGTTTAAATATACTCGTTGTGCAAAATACTTATACTATGCATACTATGTTTATAGAAGACTCAGGACAACACAGACCCAGCACTTAAACTATTTCTGGAGAGCTGCAAGAGAACATAGGCACGAAACAATGAACAAATACCTTTGACAAACTGTGTGTTAGGCCTAACCTGTATAGAAATTCTGTGCAGATAGAAACCCTGAAATATGGAACTCAATATCTGAAGATGCAAGAAGTTCCCAGTCTGCCACCTACTTCAAAACTCTCTAACTGCTTCTGTAGTAAAGCATAACAGTATACAGTAGTAAAGATCACATAGAATTGTGTAAGCTGGTAATGACTTTTATATTTGCAGGTGTGCTGAAGCTTCTTGTGGCAAAATGTGAACCTTTGGCATCAGTTCGTGACATCTGTGCTGAGGGTGATCGATTACTAGAAGAAGAAACCAGCAAAGTTTTTAAAAAAGAGAAAGACTTAAAAAAGGGCATAGCTTTTCCAGTATGTGCTTCCGTCAACAACTGCATAAATCACTACTCACCTCTTGCCTCAGAGGGCGACACAATATTACAAAATGGCGATCTAGTCAAAATTGATATGGGAGCACACATTGATGGTTTTATTGCAGTGGTGGGACACACACTGGTTGTTGGAGCTTCTAAAGACAACAAGGTTTGCATTTTCAAGGGTGACATTTTTGACCATGTTGGCATTTTAAGATCTAGTTTGTGTGTAAAGCTTAATCTTTACAACTTCTCATGTATTTTTTGTTGATAATTTTATCTTGAAATATATAATATACTGATTATTTTAACAAAAATAAACTTCAGCATTAAGGATGATTAGAAATGATTTGCAGTAATTATGCATGTCACACAGCAACATTGTGAGTTCTTGGTTCAAAAAAGATAGGTGGATGTTGCACATGTTTTACTCATCAACTTAACCTGTAAACGGTCCAAACGTATATATACGTTTTTTCAACATTTGAAAGTATGTAAAACAAGTAGATCTTCTTTTTGTTTTTTTACATTTGAAAATGTGTAAAAAAAAACTGATCTATTTTTTTTGTTATATTTGAAAATATGTAAAAAAAAGTAGATCTACTTTTGTAGCACTACACATGTGAACGTAGATCTGCTTGGACCCTTTACGGGTTAATGGTATCGTATAACTTTTGATTTAATTAAAAATTAAAAATGATGCTTATGGGGTATTATACTTAAGATTCTAGCACTTGTAAGTAACAAATCTTTCTGGTGCAGATTTAAATTTGTTTAACATATTTGAACAGAAGGTTTGCAATTCTTTTATAGATAACTGGGCGTCGAGCAGATGTGATGCTCGCAGCACATAATGCAGCAGAGGCAGCATTGCGCCTAGTCAGACCTGGCAACTTAAACTTTTCTGTTACGGATACTGTCACCAAGATTGCAGAGGTATATAAATGTAAACCAGTGGAGGGCATGTTGTCTTTCCAACTCCAACAGGGACGGATTGATGGAGAGAAAACTATAATTCAGAATCCCACAGAAGCTCAGCGTAAGGAGGTTGAAAAGCAAGAGTTTGAGACGCATGAAGTTTATGGTGTTGATGTTTTAATCTCCACTGGAGAAGGCCAGGTGAGAACTGTCAGTATTTGTATTACTACTTGATTTGATTGTTATTGGGAAATTGCAGGATGTGTACAGTTGTTTCAGTTGATGAAAATTCTTGAAAGTCCAGTGTTTGGATATCTGAAACTTGATGAGCAGACTGCAAGGGCCATCTGATGATACAACTGGACACAGTCTTCTTTACTAAAACTATTTTCTCACCATCCTCACTAAAAATATAAAAATAAATGTTTCTCAGCATACAGCCCACTATACAATATATATAAGATTTTACAAATCTTGATTTATTAAGTTGGAGTGAGCCTAATTGACCACTAACAATTTAAGTGAAGAATAATGGATAAGTGAAGAATAATAGGTAGTAGGTTGGTAGACAGCAACCACCCAGGGAAGTACTACCGTCCTGCCAGATGACTGTGAAACAAAAACCTGTAACTGTTTTGCATGATGGTAGGATTGCTGGTTTCTTTTTCTGTCTCATAAACACGCTAAGATAACAGGGATATCTTGCTACTCCTACTTACACTTTGGTCACACTTCACAGACACGCACATGCATATATATATATACATACATCTAGGTTTTTCTCCTTTTTCTAAATAGCTCTTGTTCTTTTTTATTTCTTCTATTGTCCATGGGGAAGTGGAAAAGAATCTTTCCTCCGTAAGCCATGCGTGTCGTATGAGGCGACTAAAATGCCGGGAGCAATGGGCTAGTAACCCCTTCTCCTGTATACAATTACTAAAAAAGAGAAGAAGAAAAACTTTATAAAACTGGGTTGCTTAAATGTGCGTGGATGTAGTGCGGATGACAAGAAACAGATGATTGCTGATGTTATGAATGAAAAGAAGTTGGATGTCCTGGCCCTAAGCGAAACAAAGCTGAAGGGGGTAGGAGAGTTTCAGTGGGGGGAAATAAATGGGATTAAATCTGGAGTATCTGAGAGAGTTAGAGCAAAGGAAGGGGTAGCAGTAATGTTAAATGATCAGTTATGGAAGGAGAAAAGAGAATATGAATGTGTAAATTCAAGAATTATGTGGATTAAAGTAAAGGTTGGATGCGAGAAGTGGGTCATAATAAGCGTGTATGCACCTGGAGAAGAGAGGAATGCAGAGGAGAGAGAGAGATTTTGGGAGATGTTAAGTGAATGTATAGGAGCCTTTGAACCAAGTGAGAGAGTAATTGTGGTAGGGGACTTGAATGCTAAAGTAGGAGAAACTTTTAGAGAGGGTGTGGTAGGTAAGTTTGGGGTGCCAGGTGTAAATGATAATGGGAGCCCTTTGATTGAACTTTGTATAGAAAGGGGTTTAGTTATAGGTAATACATATTTTAAGAAAAAGAGGATAAATAAGTATACACGATATGATGTAGGGCGAAATGACAGTAGTTTGTTGGATTATGTATTGGTAGATAAAAGACTGTTGAGTAGACTTCAGGATGTACATGTTTATAGAGGGGCCACAGATATATCAGATCACTTTCTAGTTGTAGCTACACTGAGAGTAAAAGGTAGATGGGATACAAGGAGAATAGAAGCATCAGGGAAGAGAGAGGTGAAGGTTTATAAACTAAAAGAGGAGGCAGTTAGGGTAAGATATAAACAGCTATTGGAGGATAGATGGGCTAATGAGAGCATAGGCAATGGGGTCGAAGAGGTATGGGGTAGGTTTAAAAATGTAGTGTTAGAGTGTTCAGCAGAAGTTTGTGGTTACAGGAAAGTGGGTGCAGGAGGGAAGAGGAGCGATTGGTGGAATGATGATGTAAAGAGAGTAGTAAGGGAGAAAAAGTTAGCATATGAGAAGTTTTTACAAAGTAGAAGTGATGCAAGGAGGGAAGAGTATATGGAGAAAAAGAGAGAAGTTAAGAGAGTGGTGAAGCAATGTAAAAAGAGAGCAAATGAGAGAGTGGGTGAGATGTTATCAACAAATTTTGTTGAAAATAAGAAAAAGTTTTGGAGTGAGATTAACAAGTTAAGAAAGCCTAGAGAACAAATGGATTTGTCAGTTAAAAATAGGAGAGGAGAGTTATTAAATGGAGAGGTAGAGGTATTGGGAAGATGGAAGGAATATTTTGAGGAATTGTTAAATGTTGATGAAGATAGGGAAGCTGTGATTTCGTGTATAGGGCAAGGAGGAATAACATCTTGTAGGAGTGAGGAAGAGCCAGTTGTGAGTGTGGGGGAAGTTCGTGAGGCAGTAGGTAAAATGAAAGGGGGTAAGGCAGCCGGGATTGATGGGATAAAGGTAGAAATGTTAAAAGCAGGTGGGGATATAGTTTTGGAGTGGTTGGTGCAATTATTTAATAAATGTATGGAAGAGGGTAAGGTACCTAGGGATTGGCAGAGAGCATGCATAGTTCCTTTGTATAAAGGCAAAGGGGATAAAAGAGAGTGCAAAAATTATAGGGGGATAAGTCTGTTGAGTGTACCTGGTAAAGTGTATGGTAGAGTTATAATTGAAAGAATTAAGAGTAAGACGGAGAATAGGATAGCAGATGAACAAGGAGGCTTTAGGAAAGGTAGGGGGTGTGTGGACCAGGTGTTTACAGTGAAACATATAAGTGAACAGTATTTAGATAAGGCTAAAGAGGTCTTTGTGGCATTTATGGATTTGGAAAAGGCGTATGACAGGGTGGATAGGGGGGCAATGTGGCAGATGTTGCAAGTGTATGGTGTAGGAGGTAGGTTACTGAAAGCAGTGAAGAGTTTTTACGAGGATAGTGAGGCTCAAGTTAGAGTATGTAGGAAAGAGGGAAATTTTTTCCCAGTAAAAGTAGGCCTTAGACAAGGATGTGTGATGTCACCGTGGTTGTTTAATATATTTATAGATGGGGTTGTAAGAGAAGTAAATGCGAGGGTCTTGGCAAGAGGCGTGGAGTTAAAAGATAAAGAATCACACACAAAGTGGGAGTTGTCACAGCTGCTCTTTGCCGATGACACTGTGCTCTTGGGAGATTCTGAAGAGAAGTTGCAGAGATTGGTGGATGAATTTGGTAGGGTGTGCAAAAGAAGAAAATTAAAGGTGAATACAGGAAAGAGTAAGGTTATGAGGATAACAAAAAGATTAGGTGATGAAAGATTGAATATCAGATTGGAGGGAGAGAGTATGGAGGAGGTGAACGTATTCAGATATTTGGGAGTGGACGTGTCAGCGGATGGGTCTATGAAAGATGAGGTGAATCATAGAATTGATGAGGGAAAAAGAGTGAGTGGTGCACTTAGGAGTCTGTGGAGACAAAGAACTTTGTCCTTGGAGGCAAAGAGGGGAATGTATGAGAGTATAGTTTTACCAACGCTCTTATATGGGTGTGAAGCGTGGGTGATGAATGTTGCAGCGAGGAGAAGGCTGGAGGCAGTGGAGATGTCATGTCTGAGGGCAATGTGTGGTGTGAATATAATGCAGAGAATTCGTAGTTTGGAAGTTAGGAGGAGGTGCGGGATTACCAAAACTGTTGTCCAGAGGGCTGAGGAAGGGTTGTTGAGGTGGTTCGGACATGTAGAGAGAATGGAGCGAAACAGAATGACTTCAAGAGTGTATCAGTCTGTAGTGGAAGGAAGGCGGGGTAGGGGTCGGCCTAGGAAGGGTTGGAGGGAGGGGGTAAAGGAGGTTTTGTGTGCGAGGGGCTTGGACTTCCAGCAGGCATGCGTGAGCGTGTTTGATAGGAGTGAATGGAGACAAATGGTTTTTAATACTTGACGTGCTGTTGGAGTGTGAGCAAAGTAACATTTATGAAGGGATTCAGGGAAACCGGCAGGCCGGACTTGAGTCCTGGAGATGGGAAGTACAGTGCCTGCACTCTGAAGGAGGGGTGTTAATGTTGCAGTTTAAAAACTGTAGTGTAAAGCACCCTTCTGGCAAGACAGTGATGGAGTGAATGATGGTGAAAGTTTTTCTTTTTCGGGCCACCCTGCCTTGGTGGGAATCGGCCGGTATGATAATAATAAAAAAAAAAAAAAAAAAAAAAAAAAAAAAAAAAAAAATAATGGATGTTTAATATTTATATGTTCACTATTGTATATCATGCATAAAAATACCAGGAGCTTGAACATCCAACAGGTATATGTTTTTTTTTTTTTTTTTTTTTAAACAAGTCTGCCGTCTCCCACCGAGACAGGGTGACCCAAAAAGAAAGAAAATCCTCCAAAAGAATATACTTTCATCATCAGTCAACACTTTCACCTCACTCACACATAATCACTGTTTTTGCAGAGGTGCTCAGAACACAAGAGTTTAGAAGCATATACGTATAAAGATACACAACATATCCCTCCAAACCACTAATATCCCGAACCCCTCCTTTAGAGTGCAAGCATTGTACTTCCCATTTCCAGGACTCAAGTCTGGCTATATAAAAATAACCGGTTTCCCTGAATCCCTTCACTAAATATTACCCTGCTCACACTTCAACAGATCGTCAGGTCCCAAATACCATTCATCTCCATTCAGTCCTATCGAACACGCTCATACACGCCTACTGGAAGTCTGAGCCCCTCGCCCACAAAACCTCCCTTACCCCTTCTTTCCAACCTTTTCGAGGACGACCCCTACCCCGCCTTCCTTCCCCTATAGATTTATACGCTCTCCATGTCATTCTACTTTGACCCATTCTCTCTAAATGACCAAACCACCTCAACAACCCCTCTTCAGCCCTCTGACTAATACTTTTATTAACTCCACACCTTCTCCAAATTTCCACACTCCAAATTTTCTGCATAATATTTACACACACATTGCCCTTAGACAGGACATCTCCACTGCCTCCAACCGCCTTCTCGCTGCACCATTTACAACCCAAGCTTCACACCCATATAAGAGTGTTGGTACTACTATACTTTCATACATTTCCTTCTTTGCCTCCATAGATAACGTTTTTTTGTCTCCACATACAGTGGACCCCTGGTTAACGATATTTTTTCACTCCAGAAGTATGTTCAGGTGCCAGTACTGACCGAATTTGTTCCCATAAGGAATATTGTGAAGTAGATTAGTCCATTTCAGACCCCTAAACATAAACGTACAAACGCACTTACATAAATACACTTACATAATTGGTCGCATTCAGAGGTAATCGTTATGCGGGGGTCCACTGTATACCTCAATGCACCACTCGCCTTTTTTCCTTCATCAATTCTACGATTAACCTCAGCCTTCATAAACCCATCCGCTGACACGTCAACTCCCAAATATCTGAAAACATTTGCTCCTTCCATACTCCTCAATTTGATATCCAATTTTTCTTTATCTAAATCATTTGATACCCTCATCACCTTACTCTTTTCTATGTTCACTTTTAACTTTCTACCTTTACACACACTCCCAAACTCATCCACTAACCTTTGCAAATTTTCTTTAGAATCTCCCATAAGCACATTATCATCAGCAAAAAGCAACTGTGTCAATTACCATTTTGTATTTGATTCCTCATAATTTAATCCCACCCCTCTCCCGAACACCCTAGCATTTACTTCATTTACAACCCCATCTATAAATATATTAAACAACCATGGTGACATTACACATACCTGTCTAAGACCTACTTTTACCAGGAAGTAGTCCCTCCTCTCTTATAGACACCCTAACCTGAGCCTCACTATCCTCATAAAAACTCTTTACAGCATTTAGTAACTTACCACCTATTTTTTATACATTGGACCCCCGTCTTACGATATTAATCCGTTCCTGAGAGCTCATCGTAAGCTGAAATTATCATTAGCCGAATTAATTTTCCCCATAAGAAATAATGGAAGTCAAATTAATCCGTTCCTAACACTCCAAAGTATGAAAAAAAAAATTTTTTTTACTACATGAAATACAGTATTAATTTTAATACACACAAACTGAAGAAGACATGCACAATTACTACTCTACTAAGAATAGAATACATGACACTTACCTTTATTGAAGATCTGGTGATGATGGGATGGAAGGAGGGGAGAGTGTGGAAGTTATTGTTTAAAAGGGGAATCCCCTTTCATTAGGACTTGAGGTAGCAAGTCCTTTACCAGGGTTACTTCCCTTCTTTTAATGCCACTAGGACCAGCTTGAGTCACTGGACCTCTGTCGCACAACAAATCTCTGTACCTCCCGTTCCTTAAAGACTCCTAAAATGGGCCATAACATTGTCATTGTACAGGTTGCCAACACGGCTTGCAGTAGCTGTCAGGGTGATTTTCATCCATTAAGGTTTGCAGTTCAACCCGCTTTGCACACATTTCCTTAATCTCTTTTTCCATACTAATTCTCACCCTTTTTACCACAGGGATGGCACTAGAAGCTTTCTTGGGGTCCCTGGTGACTTATTTTGCAGTTACAGCACTAAAAACACTGGAATAATGTGAAATGTACCGAATGTACGCGTAGATGCGACTGCACTGGCTGGCTTGTAAACACTGGTGCTGAGGTCACACGTGGGACGCGTCCCAAACTAATCACGTAAGGCGAGTTTTTTTATCGTGAGGCGAGGCAAAATTTTTGCGTTCAAATGCTTCGTGTGGCGGATTTAACATAACACGATGCGTTCGTAAGGCGGGAGTCCACTGTACTTGCATCATCTGCCACATTGCTCCCCTATCCACTCTATCATATGCCTTTTCTAAATCCATAAATGCCATAAAAACTTTCCTACCTTCATCTAAATACTGTTCAAATATATGCTTCAATGTAAACACTTGATCTGCACATCCCCTACCCACTCTAAAACCACCTTGCTCATCCGCAATCCTACATTCTGTCTTACCTCTAATTCTTTCAGTAATAACCCTACCGTACACTTTTCCTGGTATACTCATTAAACTTCTTCCTCTATAATTTTTACAGTCTTTTGTACCCTTTCCCTTTATATAAAGGGACTATACATGCTCTCTGCCAATCCCTAGGTACCTTCCCCTGTTTCATACATTTATTAAACAAAAATACCAACCACTCCAACACTATATATCCCCTTGCTTTTAACATTTCTGTCATGATCCCATCAGTTACAGCTGCTTTACTCCCTTTCATTCTACAAAATGCCTCGTGCACCTCCCCCACACTCAGATCCTGTTCTTCTTCACTCCTAAAAGATGGTATACCTCCCTGGCCAATGCATGAAATTACCGCCTCTCTTTCTTCGTCGACATTTAAAAGTTCCTCAAAATATTCTCGCCATCTACCCAATACCTCCATCTCCCCATCTACTAACTCCCATACTCTGAGCGATATGTTGTATATCTTTATACGTATATGCTTCTAAACTGTTGTATTCTGAGCACCTCTGTAAAAACAGTGATAATGTGTGAATGTGGTGAAAGTGTTGAATGATGATGAAAGTATTTTCTTTTTGGGGATTTTCTTTCTTTTTTGGGTCATCCTGCCTTGGTGGGAGACGGCCGACTTGTTGGGGAAAAAAAAAAAAAATCCATTTGTTCCCTAGGCTTTCTTAACTTGTTTAACTCGCTCCAAATTTTTTTCTTATTTTCATTAAAATTTCTTGACAGTGCCTCTCCCACTCTATCATCTGCTCTTCTTTTGCACTCTCTTCACCTTTCTTTTACTCTCCATATACTCTACTCTTCTTATAACACATCTGCTTTGTAAAAACCTCTCATAAGCTACCTTTTTCTCTTTTATCACACCCTTTACTTCATCATTCCACCAATCACTCCTCTTTCCTCCTGCACCCACCCTCCTATAACCACAAACTTCTGCCCCACATTCTAATACTGCATTTTTAAAACTATTCCAACCATCTTCAACCACCACCCCCACTACTCATACTTGCACAAGTCCACCTTTCTGCCAATAGTTGCTTGTATCTCGCCCGAACTTACTTCCTCCCTAAGTTTATACACTTTCACCTCCCTTGTACTTGTTGCCATTTTCCTCTTGTCCCATCTACAACTAAATAATGAACTGATATATCAGTTGCCCTCCTATAAACGTGTACATCCTGGAGCCTACCCATCAACCTTTTATCCACCAATACACAATCTAACAAACTACTTTCATTACGTGCTCTGACTGAAATGACCAGGCAAGTACCAGGCAAACCTGATGCAGAACTGGGGAGCGAGGGAATATGAAAATTCTTGAAAATCCATCAAGGACAAGATGTACCCTACGTCAGTGGGAAACAAGAGGTGTATTTAAATGAATAAACTTGATTTATATGGGAAATGCAATTTTGAATTTAAGAGTTTGTGCTCTGAATCTTCAGGTTATGAAAAGATGATAAAGGCCATTTGGTTTTAAGTATTTCTTTTACTTAGCCGTCTCCCACCAAGATAAGGTGATCTGAAGAAGAAACACTTTCACCGTCAATCACTATCACTGTCTTGTCAGAGGTGTACTGATACTACAGTTCAGATGCTGCTCCAAACTGCAAATATCCCCATCCCTCCTTCAGATCACAGGCACTGTACTTCCCACCTCCAGGACTCAAATCTTGCAAACTGGTTTCCCTGAATCCCTTCACAAATGTTACCTTGCTCACACTCCAACAGCTTGTCAAGTCCCAAAAACTATGTCTCCACACACTCCTGCGTAACATGCTCACATGTGCCTGTTGGATGCCAAGCCCCTCACACACAAAAAAGCAAAAGCCATGTTTTTCTGTTTTGACTTTCTCAAGGTAGGGTGAATCAGATGACCTGATGAAATGCATTCAGGTTATGATTTTTTATCCAAATAATATAAACTATAATTGATTGATAGTGGGCCGAAACAAAATTCTTTTTCACCTTGTAGTATAATACTGTACATAGATTCCTAGGTTTTTTTATGACCGTATGTGCTCTTCAGGGCAAGGAGGCCGAAGCTCGTGTCACAGTCTTTAGGAAAACAGAGGAAAGTTACAATTTGAAGCTCAAGGCCTCTCGAGAATTCTTCAGTAAGGTAAACGACCATAATTATAAGTTTGTGTTTAAAATTTCACTTGGTTAAATAATAGCATCTTGAAGATATTTTGTTTACCATTTGCCAGGGGTTATAATCCTGCTTAGTACATCTTACACTATACTATTAATAATGAGTTTTAGTAATGTTTAGATTTTGTACATTATGCCTTGGGTAATATTATCTGATTACTGTTTACCTGTTCCAATAATTTATTGTTCTTATAATTTTTGTTTGTATTTTTTTGAATTATGAAAATTGCATGGCAAAAACTATTGGATATGAATGGATACCTGTGTGAATATCTACTCATAATGTCCGAAGCTAACAAAATATGTACTTATGTTTTAGGTCCAGAAAAACTATGGAACAATGCCTTTCAATATTAGATCATTTGATGATGAGAAGAAGGCTCGTTTGGGGGTAACTGAGTGTGTGGCTCACAAATTGGTGGACCCTTACCCTGTTCTGTGGGAGAAGGTAAGACTTGCTAAATGTTGTTTTGAATGAAAGATAGTAAAATTTTTGCATTGAGTTAGAGTAATTCTTTTTGTAAATTATTTGAAGTTTGCTAAATCTGTAAATTAACTGGTTATTATTTATACTTTTATACATACATTCATAATAGAACCAGTACTGTTCCTGGTTTATGTGAATGGCATTCCAGATGGGTTTGAATCAGATGTATTCCTGTATGCTGATTTAAAACTAAGGGAAATAAAAAAAAAACATGGGGAAAGGGAAAGGCTCTGAATGGATCTGGACAAACTACAATATTGGTTAGATAAGTGGTTGCTTGAGTTCAGCCCCTAACAAGTGCAGTGCTGATAAATTAGACACATGTGCAACTCTTGGGTATCTTTATTGAGGAAACGTTTCGCCACACAGTGGCTTCATCAGTCCATACAAAGGAGGAGAATCTTGAAGAACAGGAGGAGAATGAGGTAATCAGTCCCTCAACCTTGAGTCGATGTGGTCAGTCCATCAATCTTGAATAGAATACGGCATACGTGCTGAGAAGGAGCTTATAAACCATTGGCAGGAGAGGTGCAGCAGTCATAGGTCGTGTAACATTTGTTCAATGTTGAAGTAGGTCGTGCCCAAGAATTAGGCAAGCGAAGAATTCCCAAGTATTAAGATCCCAAGAAGTTGCAGTGTCTGACAGGTTTGTAGATGAATGGTTCAGAGAACCAACATGTTGATAAATTAGACACATGTGCAACTCTTGGGTATCTTTATTGAGGAAACGTTTCGCCACACAGTGGCTTCATCAGTCCATACAAAGGAGAATCTCGAAGAACAGGAGGAGACTGAGGTAATCAGTCCCTCAACCTTGAGTCGATGTGGTCAGTCCATCAATCTTGAATAGAATACGGCATACGTGCTGAATACTTGGGAATTCTTCACTTGCCTAATTCTTGGGCACGACCTACTTCAACATTGAACAAATGTTACACGACCTATGACTGCTGCACCTCTCCTGCCAATGGTTTATAAGCTCCTTCTCAGCACGTATGCCGTATTCTATTCAAGATTGATGGACTGACCACATCGACTCAAGGTTGAGGGACTGATTACCTCATTCTCCTCCTGTTCTTCAAGATTCTCCTTTGTATGGACTGATGAAGCCACTGTGTGGCGAAACGTTTCCTCAATAAAGATACCCAAGAGTTGCACATGTGTCTAATTTATCAACATGTCGGTTCTCTGAACCATTCATCTACAAGTGCAGTGCTATAAAGATTGGGAAAAGGCCAATACTGGACAGCATATGCTTTGGGAACAAAGGCTGAAGATGTCACTCAAAAAGAGACTTAGGGTGACTATACCTCCCGGTATATCACCAGAGACTCGCATCAGCTTATTAACTTTTGCAGCAAGTGCTTATTTGGCAAATCTTTAGACCAACTTTCAGGAATTTCAACAGAGTAATTCCAGGCTCTTGATCCAACATATGTCAGACCCATCTTGGAGTATGCAGCACCATTATAGTACCCACACCTGCAAAAGCATTTTAGGAAACTGGAGAAGTGCAGAAATATGCATCGAGGCTTTTTCCATATTATTTTAATCAAGGGGTAGCGCTAAACCTGTAAGATTATACAGCGCCTGAGGGGGGATGTGGAAGGTATTCAGGTTTAATTCAGGGAACTGGAGAACAGATCCAATTCCCTAGATCAAGAGCCCCTCACCAGCATCAAAGAACCTTCCTTGAGGGGGGCTTTTTCCATAGCTGAAGGTTATGAGCTATGAGGAGAGGTTAATGGAATTGAATCTAAATGACATTGGAAGACAAACCTAGGGAGATGTAAAATATTTAAGTAGAATTGATAGGATAGACAGGGAAAAGATGTAGAGGTAAGAAATGGCATTTCTTTAGTTTGAGTAGTTCGGAAGTGGAATGATCTCAGTGGCAGAGGCAGGATCCCTACATAGTTTTAAGATAATGTGAGAAATCATGAAAGGGCTTGGAAGTTATTTTTTCACAGTGGTGGTTTTGTGTATTGTGATGTCACCTGTTTACTGTGATCTTATTGTATAGTTTTAAGCATAGGTATGATAGGGCCCAAGAGGTGTATCTGGAAAGTGGCAAGTCGAGTTGCAGGGCCAAGAGCTAGAACTCAACCCCTGCTGCAATGATACATAGGTTAGTACATACCTATGTACAGGTGGAGACATATGGCATAAAATACCAACACAATGGAAAGAGACGTACGCAATATAATGTGATCCTTTATTGACAATGTTTTGTGAGCTTTTATCAAGTCACAAACCTACTTGTGGAGAGATGATGTGTGTTTATTTAGCAAAAGTTATGACATGAAAAGTCAGGTGAGGAATGTTGAAGTTGACTTTTTGGGTAGTGTAATGACAGGTTGGACAAATATATGGCTGAGAAGAGGTTGGACTTGATAAGGACTTGCTCAGTATGGGCCAGTAGGCCTGCTGTAATATTTCTCCATGCTATGTTGCTATGTAGAATGAAGATGAAGTTCCCTGGCAAGAAATTCAGCTATGTTGTAGAAGCCATTGTTCTGGTCGAAATTGTGGGAGATGCAGGATCTTGGAATCGTTACTCATTTCCATATCCAACCATTTCAACCAGAACAACGGCTTCTATAACATAGCTGAACCTCTTGCCAGAAAACTGTTTTCCTACACAGGCAGGTCCCACTTTACAGCGCTTTGCTTCAGTGTTTCGCTAATACCGTGGTTTTCAATTATGCCCATTCTTCATTTACTCAACACTCACTATAAGCTAAGGACGAAAATATATTAAGGTAAGAAATGTGCGAGTCTTAGGTAGGAGGTTGGTAGACCGCAACCACCCAGGGAGGTACTACCATCCTGCCAAGTGAGTGTGAAACGAAAGCCTGTAATTGTCTTACATGATGATAGGATTGCTGGTGTCTTTCTTTCTGTCTCATAAATGTGCAAGATTTCAGGTGCGTCTTGCTACTTCTACTTACACTTAGGTCACACTGCACATACATGTACAAGCATATATGTACATACCCCTCTGGGTTTTCTTCTATTTTCTTTCTAGTTCTTGTTCTTATCTATTTCCTCTTAACTCCATGGGGAAGTGGATCAGAATTCTTCCTCCGAAAGCCATGCATGTCGTAAGAGGTGGCTAAAATGCCGAGAGCAAGGGGCTAGTAACCCCTTCTCCTGTATACATTACTTAAGTTAAAATGAGAAACTTTTGTTAAACTTTTTGGGTCACCCTGCCTCGGTGGGATACGGCTGGTGCGTTGAAAGAAGAAATGTGTGTATGTACATACATATTTTAGGCCTAGCTATATTGCTCACTTAATGTATAATAGTTTAAACATGTTATCAGGCTTTTATGTGCATTTGAAAGTGAAAAAAAAAAGCTGTTTCACTTTATGGAGATTTTTGCTTTACAGTAGTAGCCTGGAACCTAACCTGCTGTATAAGTGGGGCCCTCCTGTATAGTAACAGATAATAGAATAGAGGAATACTGCAGCAGGCCTACTGGCTTATGCTGGGCAGATTCTTCTCAAATCCAACCTCTTCTCAGCCATATATTTATTCAACCTGTCATCATACCAAGATGTCAACTTCAATGGAGCATTTTATGGCACATGCTTCTATAAACTTATACTGCATATTCCATTATATAGATAAGCCTGTTTCAAGTGAGGCACATGGGTTCAAAACCTACACATTTTTCCTTTCTACATGAAAGATGAAAATCTAGTTTCATATTGGTTTAACATGAGAGATTTCACTAAAATATTTCAACTTATTTGTGGATATGTTATCAGTTTATAGAGACAAGATCATTTCTAAACGTTGATGTCATTACCAAAACAAAGATGCTGCTAATGTTGCCACCACAGCATGAGTTTGCCATAGCATAAAATTTTTATTTTTTCCTTACTTTCGGATGTATTGTTCATTTAAAAAATGCAAAACAGTCTTGATCTTATTTTTATTATGTGTGTTTGACTGTCTTGTGTTAGAGGGCACATTTTGGCATCTCGCTTTTCAGTGCCTAAGGTTACTGTATTAATTGGCATTGAACTTTATTTCAGAGTGGCGAGTTTGTGGCTCAGTTTAAGTTTACTGTGTTGTTAATGCCTAGTGGACAACACAAGATCACAGGCCTACCGCTTGATGCTCAGATGTTGGATTCACAGTACAAGATAGTAGATCCTGAACTGAAGGTAATTAAAATGTATATTAAAGAGGTGAACCCCCATTGGGAAGTGGAGAAGAATCCTTCCTTTGTAAGCCATGTTGTGACCCCTTCTGTATAAATTACTAAATGTAAAAAGAAAAACTGTGAAAGCATTTCTTTTTTGGGTCACCCTGCATATGTGGGAGATGTCCAGTGCATTTAAAAAAAAGTGGAGTATTAATACTTTTTAATACTTTAACACCAACAATCTCCTGAGATAGGTGAACCCGAAAAAGAAGAAACACTTTCACCATCATTCACTTTATCACTGTCTTGCCAGAGGTGTGCCAGTACTGCAGTTCAGATGTCCCTCCAAACTGCAAATATCTTCACCCCTCCTTGAAGATGCAGGCACTGTGCTTCCCTCACCTCCAGGACTCAAGTCTTTATATTTTATTAAGTCTTTGAGAGTTTTAAATGTAAATGAAGTAAGTTAACCTTTGTGTCCAGTAAGTTTGAAAGATTACTGAAAGTATTTTGCAAGACAAGAGCTTCACTTATTACCATTTTATGTATAGACCTGTGTCTGAGGACATTTAAAGTGTTGAATCAGATGAGTTTAAATCTAAGTCAGGTTCCTCCACTCTAAAGGAGGGATTTGGGATAGTATTTGCTATTTGGAGGGACATCTGAACTGTTGTATCTGATCACCTCTGGCAAGACAGTTATAGTGTAAATGATGGTGAAGGTATTTCTTTCTCAGGTCACCCTACCTCAGTGGAAGCAAGCTAGCATGTTAAAAAAAAAATTAAATTGGCTACTTCCACCGTGTTCTTTCTAGGAAGCATACACACTAAAACTTCGTATTTAATATCTTGCATATATCCTCTTAATTTTTTTTTCTTTTACAAACCATGTAACAAGTTTGGTTGTCTTGCACTTGTCCACAAACTGTCTTTTATGCTTTTCCCATGTACAGAGAGACTTGCAAGGCAATACCATGACAGTACACAATAACCCACATGTAGGGAACTGAAATTTATGACAACACTGGTTCAACTTGAACCATTAACTAGTTGTACTGAAATACTGTCATAAGTTTGTCTCCTGCGTTTGGGTTATAGTATTTGTATTTTTCATATGTACAGTATTCTTTCCGCCTTGTCTTTTCTTCCCTCGATCCCCTTTTCTTATTTGAGATTTGTCAGTATGCTCATTGTCTGAACTAAACTACATATTTTCTTTTTGCAGCAAATTATTACGGCATCAATTAGCAATAAGAATTCAAAGAAGAAGAAGAAGAAGGCTGAGAAGGAAGCGGCGACAGTCGTAAGAAGTGAGGACTAGCATTAATCAGATTAAACATTGTTGTGTCAAACCCTAGTAAACACCCAGTGATCCAGGTGGTACCAGATGGTCTGTGTTCCCAGGAGAAGTCCCATAAATGTCAGTACAGTACTAATAATTATTTTTTTGGGGTTAGTAATCTCTTAATTCTCATCCTATCAGTTTAATCTAGGTACATCACTTCATGCTCATAATAATTTGCTTTTTTATTTATAGTTAATCACAACTTTTCTCAGTTGTTTAGTGGTGCAGTGAGCTCTCTTTAGTTGATTTGTACTTAGACTTTTTGTTTTTCCCTGTGAAGTCTTGTATTGTTTTTGCCTTTTATATTGTGTGTATTGTGAGGATTTTTATTTTTGCTAGCACAGAAAGTAACTGATTTGACATGCAAGGGATCTGGGCAATCTCACAGGGGATGATGTAAAGTTAATGAATTCAAAATGGGTGTAGCATTCCAGCCGCATTTTTAGTAACCCCCTACATATTTGCTGCTTTCAAACTGTACCCCCCTATCCCCTAGACTTGGTATTTTATAACTCAATCTGTAATACATGGCAGAATGTACCATCTGGGTTGATGCTTTTAGGTGGGTTGTTTACTACTGGCATAAAGTGAATGTCAGTTTGGTTCTTAATGTTGAAAAATCTGAATATTTTGCACTTGTAAATTTTGTGCTAGGGTGAAACAACTTTACTAGCTGGTATCCTTGGATAAATTTAAGTGGGATGGATGCACATGAT